TCACTGTCCCCAGCCCCTCACACCCCTGCATTGATTTACTGTCCCCAGCCTCTCACACCCCCTGTACTGTCTACATCGCCTCCCTCCTCATGCACTGGCTCATGCCCTCAGCATCCCAAGTCCAGGGTTTACTCCCCCCCCCCCCCGCCAAGAACCTAAGGATCCTATAGGTCATCACCCCTCCATGGTTTAACCTCCTCAGATGCCTTCCTAGGTTTGAAAATTTCCTTTCCTGATAACTTCAAATCTCACGCCAGGACAGGCCCTCGCTCCAGTCCTCCGGCTCTAGTGAGCATGTGGCAGATGGTTCATACATGGGTCTTTCATCCCAAGAAAGTCTTCATGGGCCAGCTCTGCTGGTTGTGGGCCTCTGTGCATGGCTGCGGAGTGAGAAAAGAGTACGGAAAAAGGAGGCAGCCACCATATTTTGAAGTAAAGTAACTAAGGCTCTGAGAGTTTACCGGGACTTGCCAATGTCACCTAGCAGATGAAACTGAGAGCCTAGACAAGACCAGAGACAGCAATCTGTCCCCAAGTGGACAGAGACAGGGGTACAAAAAGAAAGGCCCTGTCAAGTGGCCCCAAGTAGTGATTAGTGCTGGAGCTCGGCAGGCTGTTGGATAGGAGTACAAGACCCCATAGTGAGTCATCCATGACTGTGCCATCTACTCCCTTGCTGTGCTACCACCTGCAGCCACAAGGTGGAGCACCTTTCAGCTCTGAAGCCTAGAAGCCTAACTTCCCAACTTGGATCAAAGGGGCTGACAGTTTATTTTCTCCGGCTCCTTCATGCCCTTCCCTGGCACTGGCTTGCTACCCCCATGTCAGGCTGGCAGCTCAGAGCCTGCTTTATGCCACCCCCATGAGGCCTGGCAAGACCCTACAGAACATCCTTAATTCCAGAGGCAGAGTTTCCAAGGGTCATAGCTGGAGTGGAGAATCTAGAGCAGAAGCCTCTCCATGTCATTTCACATCACATCTACATTCCTTCCAGTCAAGATGCCCAGCAGTCCCTTGTCATGCTGTCATTGGAACAACCTAGAACAGGAATGTGCCTAACACAGCAGGGGTATGGGGTTTCCTGAAAAACTGCTATTATATAGGTGGGACCTCTCACACCAGAGGTCATTTTTAAGCCAAGAAAACATGTAAATTAAGTTTCTAGATGACATCTGGCCACATACTGGGCCCCTACTCACCAAGTGCCTATATTGGGGAGAGGAATGGGCACTGTGCACAGACACACATCCATCTGCTTGGCACCCCCAGGCTGCAGCCCTAGCTGTATAGGCTTCCTGGTTCCCAACACTTTCTGGGAGACCTGATCCCTGACCTCCCCACAGACTGCTGTGAGACCGAGACCCAGCCCCAGCTGCTGTCTGGTTACAGAGGGCGGTTCCTCCCGCACCTTACAGATATAGAAATTGAAGTTCTAGGGCAGTGATTCTCAACCTGTGGGTTACAATGCCTTTGCAGGTCATGTACCAGATATTTATACTACAATTCATAACAGTAGCAAAATTACAGTTATGAAGTAGCAATGAAATAATTTTATGGTTGGGGCTTATCACAACATGAGTATTTCAGAATTGCAGCATTAGGAAGGTTGAGAACCATTGCTCTAAGGATTTTGTGTGAGTCGTGTCCCATCAAGCTCACTGGTTTCTCTTCTATAAGAATGGAATAAGCTGTAAATTGAGTTTGTCTGATGGGCTGGGCTCTGCCCATTCCATGGAGTGGTAGTGAGTTGTCTTCTCTTGTTTACACTGTTCTCTCAGACTGTGAAGTCAGAAGATGCTGGGTGGGCAGACACTTGTTCTGAGGTGAGGATATAGGGAACAAGAGACTGGCCACAGAGTGGAAACAGGTTCTAGTTACCTTCATACAGATGCCAACAAGGCTCAGGAGCTTGGCAGACATGCTGGTGTGGCTCTGACCTTTGCTGTCCCCCCATGTCCCAGCTCAAGAGTCAGTGGTGATAGTACTGATTCTCAGTGTGTGGCCTTTAGTGTCAGATGACCTCTAGGACGGCTGGTGCAACAGAGATTTCCTCACAGCCCTGAAGGGGAAGTTCAAGGTCAAGCGGCAGCAGGGCCAGCTCCTTTTCTCCAGGGTGTGGTGTCTCCACCTTCTTTGTCTCCAGATGGGCTTCCCTGTGTGTGCGTCTGTGTCCTGATTATCCTTTTATAAGAACCAGGCAGACTAGACTGGAGCTGGCCCCTGTGACCCCACTGGCCTTACTGGGCTCTGTAAAGACCCTGTTCTGAGGTCAGGTAGATAAGGACTTCAATGCCCAGATCTGAGAGACGCAGTCCAGACCACAAAACCCTTAGTAAATGAGGGGCCATGATTGTGAGGAGCCACTGACTAGATGGTGGGCATGGGAACCTCATGTTCTCCTGGGGGCCATGTATGTCCTAGTCTGTCTTTCTAGAATGAACAACTTATTGATCAAATGTGTTCCCCCAGGAAGTGCCCCAGGAATGGGCACCCAGGGGATGTTTGTTTATAGTAGGGGAGGGATAGGGATCCTGAGAAGGCCCTGGAAGTCTCTCTCCCTTTTTGGGCTCCTGTACATCTCCTCAATCTAGCCAGTGAGGCAGAGAACATTTCCTGGGCACTAAGCCCCTCTGTGTTAAGACAGATTGGGGGCTGCCACATATATCTGCTGACTCCCTTCCTGATGGGGTGCTGCTATGGTTTCAGGTGGCTCAGCTTGTCAGGAAGCCCCAGCAGCTCCTAGGCCCCCAGCCACTACTGCATGCTGGCTGGGCGGGAAACAGCAGAGAATGAGATATACTACAGGGATAAGACCACTGAAGATTCTCCCTGGGGTCAGGAGCTGAGGGTGGGGCCTGTCTACAGAGGGAGGAACAGGAAGTCAGGGAGTGAGTGGAAGTGAGGGGCGGGGCTTCCTGTAACCCCCTGTAGAGCACACTGTCCTACTCACTTGAGCAGCCACAGTAGCCAGCCTCAGGACATCCTGTTGCCATCCTCATGACCGCTGTGTAGGAGAGTATGGTCAGGGAATTAGCGTTCTGTCTTAGTTACTTTTCTATCGCTTTGATGAGACACCATGATCAAAGCAACTTACAGGTGAACGTTTAATTTGGGGCTCACAAGGGTTAGTCCATAACCATCATGAGAGCACGAAAGCAGGCAGGCAGGCATGGTGCTGGAGCAGTAGCTGAGAGTGTATATCTTGAGACACAACCATGAGGCAGAGAGAGAGCTAACTGGGAATGGTATAGGCTTTGGAAACCTCAAACCCAGAGACACACCTCCTCCAACAAGGCCATGCTTTCTAATCCCTCCTAAACAGTGTCACCATATGGGGAGGAAACATTCAAATATATGAGCATATGGAGCCATTCTCATTCAATCCACCACACCTTCCATCAAGAGCATCAATCATAAAATCACGCCACACTGCTGCACTGGGGATTAAACTTGTAATGAAGGGACTTTGGGAACACATTTAAACATGTAGGGACACCTACATGAATGCACTGAGCCTTTCCTAGTAGAAGCTGCCCAGCTGAGTTCATAGGAGAAGGGTGGGGGATGACTCCTAAAAACTCTGGCTTCATGGGAGGCTACAGACATTTTTCTGACCCAGCTGGCCAAAGAAGTGTAATGCCTGAATGCCAACTGTTAGCCTACCAGGCTGGTAAGGTCAGACAAGCGCTCTGTCTGGGAGGATATGGCTTAGGAGTCTGGAGGCAGGAAAGTAGAGCTTGTGTTTGGGGGAAACCAGAGTCCTGTTTTGCTGGAAGATAAAGAGGAAGCAGGAAAAGCCAGAGGTAGGAGGAGCCAGCAAGATTGGCATAGTGTCGGTCACAAAGGTGACCCAGGGGAGGTTCCTGCCCAAAGCAGCTCTCATCTTGCCAAAATTAAAGCCTGCCAGCAGCTTCTCCAGGCAACTCACACTGCTAGCCAAGAGCCATGGAATAGACCCCACATTGTGCTGAGCTTGAGTACTTCTGAGACCACTGCTTCACATTCTGCAGAGAGCAGAGTGTTCACCCACTAGAGCCCATCTGAATGCCAGAGCCTGAGCCCGATACAAAGGGCTGTCTGGAAGGCAGGAAATGCTGGAGGACACAGGGGCCTGGAATTCTGTCCCCAGGAAGATTCAGGAGCCCTTCAGCTGGAGTGCTTGAGACATAAAGTTGTGGGCAGTTTTGGACTGAGGGGGTTGGAGGTGACTGCAGCAAGCTGAGCCTCAATGGGTGGACAGAATATTAGGCCTGTGCCTGCATGGTCCTGGTGGAGGGAGGCAGGCAAAGCTAGCAATGCAAGCCTAGGTCTGTGTGCCTTCTCTCAGCTTCCTCTGCTCTCTCCTCCAACCCTGCAGCTGGCCTCCTGGGTCGGACCCCCAAAGGGTGCTGATGGTTGGTTATCCTACCAGGCCAGGGCCTGGGTTTCTGGAGGGTGCTGTCTTTACCTGATCCATTAGTAATCTTGTCAACCCTTATTTTTGATAGGTGAGTCAAAAATTGGAGGATCTCAGTTCCCAAGGTTAATGCCTGGGCTGAAGCAGACTTTCTATGGCTAAGGTGACATTTAAAGTTGTGTGGAGCCATTCCTGGCTAGGTAGTGAGTAGGGGAGAAAGGGGGAGTTGTCCATTGCCCCTACGGGTCCAAGTTCCATGTCTGTTTCCCAGTGTGGAGCCGTGCTCTGAGTCCAGTCTGGCGATGTCAGGACAAGTATTTCTACTCTAAGTGCGGCTCACCACTGGCAGCAACTGTCAAGCCCATACACCAGAACGAAGCGACAGTGGCTTGCGTGCTTGTGCGCGATTGTGTCCGTGGCCGCGACTGGCAGGAGGCCGCGCGTGCGCGTGGGTACGCGCGGCGAGGACCCACGTGGGTCACCCAAACAAAGACGGAGCCGCGTGATCGGGCCCGCGCGCGCGCGCGCGAACCCGGCAGGGCGGGCAGGGAGGGGCGGGGCGGCGGCTGCGCAGGCCCGGCCGGGGGCGCGCAGACTCCGCGCAGCAGGACGTGAGCGCGCGACGCGGCGCCGCCACCGCGCTCGTGGCCGGCACCCGCGGGGCCGCGTAGTCCCGGCTTCCCGGCGCCGCTGGGCTCCCGGGAGGGCGGCAGGTGCAGCGGGGCCGGGTGGCCGGCCAGGGGGCACCGCGGCGGCGGCGGGTGGATGAGAGTTGGCCCCGATCACCCCGCAGGGTAAGCGGCGCGCGCGCGAACTCCTACACAGACCTGGGCGACGCTCGCCACGCTCTGTCCTGGCCGCCGGGCCGTGACCCTATGCGCTGTGCTTTCACTAGGTGGCCCACAGAGGCGACCCTCCTTTCGGGGACCGGCGTGGGCGCGCCCCGAACACACGCCCCCGGGACGCGTGTCACGGCCACCCCTCGCGGGTACCACCGGCACTGTGCGGATCAGGGTCCTGCTGGGAGAGAGGTAGACATCGATGGGACATAGGGCCCAAACTACGGTGTGTGGGGGAGTCATTAGATGGGTTTCCATGCCTAGGCCTCTAGTGGGGGACAGGATGAGGGCGCAGCAAATGTCGTCCTACTGACCCACTCTTGTGGGGGTGGGTGAACTGGAAAGGAAGAAAGCTCTCCAGGCCGGTGTGGTTCAAGAGATGACCTGGGGAAAAGTTGAGGACGCTTGCTCTCTTTTCCACACCCTGCTTTCTGTGTGGCTTTCCCCCTTTCATTTAGACATTAGCCTGTGGGATTCTGGGGACAGTTGGCACCTGGCTGGAGCTTAGGCCTGTGTGTTTATTATAACCGCTAAGGTGGGGTACTGTGTGGCAGACCCCAGCCTAAGACCTCACCTGTGCACAGCAGGACTAGCACCTCTGAAGGGTGGAGAGGGGCCAGTCTGGGTGTTGGTTCCCCTGTCCCTACCTGTGGCCCAGTGGTAGAGTGAGGAGCAGGTTTCCAGGGCCAGAGACAAGCTGGTACACTTCCAAGTTTCCCCATTTCCAGAGGTAGGAGATTCAGTTTGGGGGAGACCTTTTTCAGGGTGGGTTTCCTTTCTTGCCTTGTATAGATTAGGGACGAAATTCAAGTTGTGAGGTCCCAAGTCTCAGCCCTCTCCAGTTGCACTGAAGCCCAGCCAGGCAGAGGGGCTCACTTTTGGGTTAAACCCAGAAGGAGGGTCATGGCCTGGGCTCCGTAGGGTTTGAAATTAAGGACAGTTGGAAGTTAGTTTTCTCATATACCTGCTCTGTGACATTGGGCAAGGCAGTGAGCATCCCCTGCTTCGGTTTGCCCATAAGTGAGTGACGAAGGAGAAGATAAGAGGATTAATGTTATGATATGGGTTCCATGCTGGTCACACACCTCTAGGTCAGGAGTCAGACCAGGTTGTCCTGCCCTTTGCCTCTCGGGTGGCCTTAGTGGACCTGCTGACAATCTGAGGAATCTTCTCTCATTCTGCCACTGTCCCACCTGTTCCTAGGCCCATAAGGGGACACACAGCCTGGCCCTGTGGTGGTGTTTTATTATTGCTCTCCCATGCTGGGATGAAACCACAACCCACATATGCTCTCGGGGACACCCCAGCTTGGGGATCTCAGTCGATATGCCTGTTCCTCTGTCCTTCCCAAGCCACTGCTGGATGTCGGAGCCCCTTGCCTTTGCTGTGACACTGACTACTGAACTCCCAGGGAGTACGAGCTAGGTACCAATGATTGGGAGGTTGGATGCCCAGGGTCCTGCTTTGTGTACCACCGTTTCCCTGCTCTGCTTGTTTTTCCTCAGCCATCCTGACTGATGGTAGGGAGCATGGCTGTCCCTACTGGTACTAGTGATGTCTGTCTGAGTCCATGCTAGGACATAATTGCTACAAACTGTCTGGGATAGTCTCAGAGTTGAGATCTGTTTCTGCACAGCCTGAGGTCTGTTTCTGCACCTGTTTATCCAGCCTCCTATTCAGGCAGGCAGAGGGGCTTTGCAGGGGTGCGTCTCCTAGGGAAGGGCCAGTGGTCTTTCTCTCCAAACCTCCCAGGCGCCCTGTTATCTGTTATCCTGGCTCACCCGGAGTGGCGCCAGCAGTCAGAGCAGTTGCCAGTGCCAGCAGCTATGGCCTCTGCTGTCCTCATTCTTGCTGGGCTTCACCTTCACCACCTAGAAAGAGGAGACTCAGACCTGTTTCCTGAATCAACATTTCTGCCTCACAACAGAGAGTGCTTGCACAATGGAAACAGTGTCATTGGCGGCCCTGAGATGCTCTGGGCAGAGTTGGCATGGCCTCAGCATAGCTCTCTGCAAGGGGATTGTAGCAGGGAAGTTACAGATGTTTAGAAACACTAGCTCCAGCCATGCCACATCTGGACAGAATCAGAATCTGTATCTGGAGAACCAACAGCTTGGTGTTCTGATGTGGGGTCCTTGATGGCTATTGTGCTACCTGGTGTCCCTTCCTTCTCTGGGGACAATACATGGAAGTTCCATCCAGCTGCCCTATGCTCTGGTAGGGTTTCTCTCTAGAAGCCTGATCTACTGAGCCATTTTTACAGGATTGGGGGGTGCTTGTTCTGGGATGATGTCTGCAGCCAGAGGTTCATGTTTTGGGGCCACCCTCTCTTGGGGAGCTGGGCAGGTTCTCCTCCTGAGGAGCCCTGGCCTATCTACTCTGGTGTTTGGTCTTTATGTATCAGGATGACTTAGTGTCAATGGTGGCAAGTACCTGTTAGTGGGAAATGCTCATGACTGGTGTGTGGTTGGGTCACCTTTTCTGAGTTTCTACATTCTTCCCTCAAAGTAGACTACAAGGGTGCACCCAGCCCAGTTAGCACTGAGAGGTGTGTCTGTGTCCCACTGGTGTAGGTGTCTTCCGTGGAGAGCAGGTAATCATGACTCCAGAGAGATAAGATGGGGGCCATGCAAGTGAGTCACAGGTGAATGTAGATGGACTTGCATCTTCTTTGCAAAGGTAGATAGATCCTCTTTCCCTGGCCTCAGGTGGCCATTTCCAGGGAGGCCAACACCCCAGGGCAGTTTGATCATAAATGTAGGCTCAAAAACAACCCAGGGCAGTTTGACCATAAATGTAGGCTCTGGAAGGTTTGGTATGTGAGCCCTGTGAGTTAGCTGGGAACTTTCTGGAGCTATAGTGGCTCTGGGGTTTTTCCTTGGCTTTGCACTGGTGGCTTCCTGCTTTCCCTTCATTCTGGGCAGAACTAGAAAAAAAGTGGTGCTTAGGAAGGGGTTGAAAGTCCAAGCTTCCTCAGCTGGCTGCAGGGAGGAGGCCTGGAGTTCCGTGCCCAGCCCAGGGCAGCTGTACCTGACCAGAGTTTGTGGCTGGTGGAGAAATGTCCTATAAAGCAAAAGAGATGTGACAAACCAGGGTTTCCCTAATTGTAGGAGACATTCCTTTCTCTTGGGATGTCTGCGTGTGGCCTAGGAGGGGACTTCAGGCTGTAAGTCACCACTAATAACATTTGACATCTAAAAGCTATTGTTAAGACTGTTTGGTGTTTGAGTTATAACCAGGGTTGTGATTATACTTAAGCCTGAGATTAAAGTCCCCTGTGGTTATACAGGAAGGCAGGAAGTATTGGCCTATCTGAGGGAAAAAAAACAGTAGTAGGAGGTGAAATCAGTCTACACACCACTCGCTACACTTAGTGCCTCTCAAGGATTGTCTCACCACCAGCACTTTTGCTACAATCACCAGGTGAGGAAACTTAGGCACAGAGGGGGAGGGCACAGCTTGCCCAAGTGGTGCTTAGGACCATAGAGGAGCTTGGATTGGAGCTTGTGTGGTGGCTTGTGGCACCCTAGTCCAGGGCCCCGTGGTAATCCTCCTCTAGTGATGAGTTCCAGGTGTCATGTGGTATTTCAAGGCTTGGCAGTGTCACTCAGGGCCTGGTGACATTCTTCTGAGAAGTTCTCGAGGTTTATTTTTTGTGACTTCTGAAGGTTGTGCTGTGGTGGGCTCCATCTCACAATAAAGGCACCTCTAATGCAGAGAAGTTCCAGGGTTTCCCCAAGATACAAGACTGCTTCTTTTTTTCCTGTTAGCCTCCTATGTGGGTGGGCTTCCCATTCCTTCCTTTCCTTTCCTTTCCTTTCCTTTCCTTTCCTTTCCTTTCCTTTCCTTTCCTTTCCTTTCCTTTCCTTTCCTTTCCTTTCTACCTCCCCTTTCATTTCCTTCCCTTCTTTACTCTTTTTTTTTGGGGGGGGGTGGGGGGGAGACAGGGTTTCCCTGTGTTGTTTTGGAGCCTGTCCTGGAACTCACTCTGTAGAACAGGCTGGCCTCAAACTCACAGAGATCTGCCTGCCTCTGCCTCCCAAGCGCTGGAATTAAAGGCGTACACCCCCTCTGCCTGGCAGAAGGTGGGCTTTTGAAAGCCAGGATCTCTCCACTCCTGTTTAGCCCCATGCCTCTCCTAGTGAGCTGTCATGGCACTGAGCAGATATTGTGTTCCATCTTCTCTGAGTCACTGGCAGTTCATACCAAAGGAACCTTAGCCTTAGGGTCCACCCATAGTTGAACCAGGCTGTGTGGCGGGAGGGGCCAGCTCTGATGGTTTCTGCAGGGAGGGGACAAGCCCAGGAAGGAGTTTATTTTTTTCACGTGTCTTCCTTGAGGTGTACTTCACACACCACACTATCCATCCTTTACAGATATAATTTGCTGCTTTCTAAACCATTCATGATCTTGTCAACCATCACCAATCTAGAGGGATGTTTCCATAAGGAGACAAGGACTGGAGAGCTGGCACCCCGCTGCCTCTTTCCCCAGCTGAGGCCACCCCTATGCTAGGTTGTCTATGGCTTTGCCTTCTCTGGATTCTTCATGGACCTGTAATCCCAGTGTGTGTGGCCTTTGCGTTAGCTTTCCTTGTTCATTGTGTCTGTATCGTGGTGGCAATTGTGCCTGTTGTGACTACCCACCCTCTCCCTCCACTCCTTCCACCCCCGATGTGGTTCACTTGTTAATGTCTGTGGATCAGTATTTTACATCTATATTTGTGGGTACAAAATGCCACAGCATTCATGTGAAGGCCAGGGGGCCTTTTTTTTTTTTTTTTTTTTTTTTTTTTTAAATACAGGGTTTCTCTGTGTAGCTTTGGAGCCTGGTCTTTGTAGACCAGCCTGGCTTTGAACTCACAGTGATCCCCCTGCCTCTGCCTTCCGAGTGCTGGGATTAAAGGGTGCACCACACTGCCTGACTCAGAGGGCACCTTTTGGGAGTCGGTTCTT